TGTACATGGTCAAGATTTAAACTCCATTCTTAAGAATTGAAAAACTACTCCATGAAATGATGTCACTTAAGAGTCAAGGGTAGGATGCTCAGTTTTGTGTTTTCTAGTAGCTCCTTTTTTTTCCCTCCCCAACACTAAATAACTTTTCAAAGTATATCTTCTGTGCAATTATCTCTTGAGAGATAAAAGTCATGAATACACATATTGATGGAATATACCTGTCAGAGGCCTAGGCTCCTTAATTTGTTCCTAGCCATGGTTTGAAAAGCAACCGTCTGTTGACTGTGGAACAAGGGTAGAACTATAATTTATGTTTGTTTTTATTTAAAAAGAAATACTTTAATCTCTACCAACATTTAATATTTAGATTGAAATTAGCTCTCTCCCCCAATGCATGTGTCCAAAGGTTACTATGCAAAGCACTGGCATTTTTCCCTATTTCTTGCAACAGGGCTATTAAAGCCATGTCAGGTTACTAAGAATATTCTGAAATATTAAGAACTATTTCCTTTATTATACATTATACTTGTTTCGCTTATAAAAAAAAAATTTCTTATATTTGCATACTTAAAATTTAAAACCAAAACTTTAAGTTTTAAACTTTTCAGTGAAAAGCTTGCTGTTAAAAGTTAAAAACAATGTATTTTGTATTTACTCGCTTATTTACCATTTCTGGCATTCCTCATTAATTTGTATACATCCAAATGCATACATAGGCATCATTTCCTTTCTGCCAAAAAGAACTTACAACATTTCCTATGGAGTTCACTGAGATTCTTCGATCCCTGGACTTTTAGTCTTCACCAAATATGAAAACTTTGCAACCATTATTTCTTCAAATAGTTTTTCCTGTTCCCACTCTCTCAATTGCTTCAGGGAGTCCAATTACACAAAAGTAAAACCAACTGATATTGTCTCTCAGGTCACTGATGCTCTGTTCATTTTTTTTCCTAGTCTTTTTTTTCTATAGATTTTAGATAGTTTCTATTGCTTTATTTCCCAGTTAACTAATATTTTCTTCTGTAGTTTCCAATCTACTAATAATTCCATCTAGTGTTTTTTTCCTCATTTCAGATACTGTATTCCTCATCTGCAAACATTCGATTTGGGTTTCTTTTTTTCATATTTTCCATTTCTCTCATCATCGTATTCAAATTTCTTGAACATGTGGGATACATTTATAAGCTGTTTTAAGGTCCTTGCAGCTATTTCCATTATCTCTTGTCATTTCTGGGTCTGTTTAAATTGACTGATTTTTCCTTGAGTTATGGGTTACTATTTTTCTGTTTCTTTCCATGCCTCATCATTTTGACCAGATAATGAATATTGTGAATTTTACACACTTTGGTGCGAAATTTTCTTATACAGGCACACCATGAAGATATTGTGGGTTTGGGTCCAAACCACCACAGTAAAGCAAAGATCACAATAAAGCAAGTTGTAATCTTTTGCTGGTGAAGGAAGGGTCTTGTCTTCAATTTGTGAAAAACATATCTGTGAAGCACAATAAAGCCAAACACAATAAAACAAGTCATGCCTGTATTCTTTTTAATTGTATTGAATTTTGTTCTGGAATCATTTGGATCTGTTTCCAAAGCAGATACAGAGAATCCTTTAGTCTAAGGTGATATGCCCTTTGATGGACTCTAACCAATGCCTTATGAGGTCTTTCCACTGTGGCTATGGGAACATGAACAATTTGTGAGTTCCAGAAATTGCTTCATCAAATGCTTTCCAATAGTTATTTCTCCAGCTATGGAAGTTTTCTTCACACATGTATTAATTCAGTACTCAACCAAAGCCTCATGGTAAACTCTATAGAGATCTCCGTGTGCTCTCTCTGTGCAGTTACCTCCATTCTGGCACTCCGCCCTACAAACTGTAGCTACCTTTGCCTCCTTTTAAACACCTATTTCCAATCTCCTCAACTCTGTTAAAAAAAAAAAAAAAAACACACTGGATTCTATCTGGCTTCCTCTCTTCTGCTGCCCATAAACTGCTTCTAGTCAATAAACTGGGGATAATTTTAGGGCTTATAATTTCAGTGATAACTTCTCTCAGTGTTAACAGTCTTTGTCTATTACCCAATATCGAAAATTATTTCATATATTTTGTCCAGTTTTCTAGTTATTAAACGCAGGAAGGCAAATTCAGCCCTGCTACTTCACCATGACCAGTTTTTTCTAATTTATTTATTTAAATTAGTTTCAAGTATACAGTACATTAGACATCTATATAATTCATAAAATTATCCCCCCAAATGCTCCCTCCCTCCACTGGCCCTCCACCTAGGCATCATATTAATGTTAACTGCATTCCCTCTGGCATGCTCCCCTCCCCGTGACCAACTATCAACTACTAATTTGTAGTTGATATCCCTTAATCCTTCACCTCATTCTCCCAGTCCCTCAATCCCTCTCTCCTCTGTCCATCATCAAATTGACCACTATATTTGTGAGTCTGTTTTTGATTACTGTGTTCTTTTTGTTCCTTAGGTTCCCCATATAAGTGAAATCATGATGTTTTTCTTTCTCTGTCTGACTTATTTCAGCATAATAACCTCTAGGTCCATCCATGTCGTTGCAAATGGTAGGAATTCATTTTTTTAATGGCTGAGTAATATTCCACTGTATATACCAGGATTTTGAGCAGATAAATGTAATAAAACTGCATCACCTTCTACTCAGTTTTTAAGATCAACTGACTGATTTCAGGGAATAGGGAAAGTATGTATTTGAATTTTAGCAACTCTCTATCTACTTGATAGAACTACAAAAGGAATGTCATAATGTAGATAATGAAGCCAGCAACATACTTCTTACATTTGGTTCTACATATCTTTGTAAGATGATTTTTTTTTCATGTAGGACAGATTATAACCAAATACTAAAATAAACTACTCCTGGACTCAGATCTAATGATAGTTATGTCACAAAGGACTAATCTTTGTGACATAACTATCATTAGGTCTGAGTCCAGGATTAGTTTATTAGATTATTAGATTAGTTTATTAGATTAAGAAATTCCTTTGTTAAGTATAAATTATTTTTGTATCATAAAAATTCTCCAATGTAAAAAAATAAAGAAATAGAAAAACCTTCCAAGCTGAGCGCAGATCATGAAAAAGAAATAAAAGCTATCAAGGTGTATAACATATTCAGGGACAAGAGTGTGGCTGCTATATTAAATGAGTGAAAATCTTTAGAAGATGGTAACAAAAATGTTTAGTTTTGTAAGAAACTGCCATCTTTAGAAGATGGTAACAAAAATGTAAAATGTGATTTACATTTTTAAAATTACAATATTAAATATTGACCAGGATGTGGAACAACAGGAACTCTCATTCACTGTTGGTGAAATTGAAAAATGGTATACTTTGCACCATCTAGGAAGACAGTTTGGCAGCTTCTTACAAAACTAAACATACTCTTATCACACAATCTAGCAATCACACTTTTTGGTATTTACCCTGATGAAATGAAAATTTATGTCCATACAAAAACCTACATGGATACATTTATAGCAGCTTTAATTCATAACTGCCAAAGCTTGGAAGCAACCAAGATACTCTTCTCATAGGTGAACAGATAAACTATGGTACATCTGACAATGGAATACTAATCAGCACTAAAAAGAAATGAGTTACTAAACCTTGAAAAAGATATGAAAACTTTAAATATATTACAAAGTGAAAGAAGCTAATTTGAAAAAACTATATAAAGTATGATTACAACTATGACATTCTGAAAAAGGCAAAATTACAGAGACAATAAAAGATCAGTGGTTGCCAGGGATTGGGGGAAGGGAGAAATGAAAAGGCAGAGAGCATGGAGGACTTTTAGGGCAGTAAGACAATCCTATATATTACAGTGACACATTTGTCAAAATAAACATTTATCAAAACTTATAAAATGTATACCAGAAGTGAACCCTAATGTAAACTATAAATTCTGGGTGATAATAATGTATCAATGGAGATGCATTTATCGGAACAAATGTACCACTCTGCTGCAGGATGTTGATAATGGGGAAGAAACTGTGCATGTGTGGGCGTAGGGAGTACATGGGAACTCTGTATTTTCTGATTAATTTCACTGTGAATCTAAAACTGTTCTAAAAAACAATCTATTAAAAAAATCAATCTAGTAACAATGTAATATATAAGCCAGACAAGAGACTAAAGTAAGAGAAATCAGTTAAGAGAATATAGTAATACTTTTGGCAAGAGATAAAAATGGGCAATAAAAATAGCACTGGCAGTAGAAACAAAAGTATTCTAAAACAGTATTCGAGTTTTTGCATGTATATATAACCTAATCTACTAGATAGAACCATTCCAGATCTTCCCGTACAAAGAAGGTATTTTCTCCAAATTAACAACAAAACAAGTAATGTTTTTAACAAATTACATTATCTTGTAATAACTTGTAATAATAAGGTATCTTGGAATAACTTTCCAAATTTACATGGCAGATATATGCAGTGAAAATTAAGTAATACAAAACTGGAAAATGTACTGAGTTTTTTCATAAAGCTATCTTTATTTCAATGAGAGCTCTTTATTTGCAAAAATAATAAGCCCTAACAAAAAGGTGAAAAAAATAACAAAATTAAGGGAAAAAATTAAGTAATACATAATAAATCACTTCCATGTTTTAAGTAGGAACACACTCTTATATTTAAGAATTTTTTATATTTTATTTCAACTGGGACACTAAAAATAATAAACATATAACTGTTCATGCTTAGTTTTCTTATACATTACTTGAAATAAGTAAGATTAAATAGTACATCTTTAGACATTTTAATGAATGTAAACTGGTATCGGTTTGAGTAAAATCTTAATTTCCTATCGCTCCAGAAAACTTCAAGAACTGCAAAGTAAATATTGAACACCTGTTAAAAATCAGTGTAAATGACTCGGTGTGGAGAGATGTTTTTCTTTGCAATGACAACAAAATAAGGAGTTACTTTTCTAGAAGTGTAAAAAGTAGCCTCACCTTTTTCTTCAGCTTTTATAGGAAAATACTTCTTCTCTGCAGATACCAGCTCAGGCTTTGGGGCTGAGGAAAAAAAGTTAATATTGTTTTTTTTTTAAAATCATTTTAAAGCACAAAGACAATTATACTACTAAAAAGCAAAGGTTAGTTTAAAAATAACAGCAGATGAAAACATGGTTTAGCAGGAAAAAAAACAATGTACCACAATCACTAGGCTCAATATCTAATCTTGCCCCTGTCACTATTACCATGAGTAAGTAATAACCATAATCTCAGTTCCTTCTTTGTCAAATGAAGGTATTCATATCCTCTACACCACTGCCCAGTAGAACTACCTGTGATGATGGAAATATTCTATTTTTGTGTTGTCCAACACTGACTACTGAGATTTAAAATGCTGCTACTTGCGGCTCTGGAATTAAATGTTTTATTTCATTTAATTTTAATTAATTTTAAAAGCTCTGTTTAACTAGTGGCTAAAAGGCCTTCAACATGAACTTCTAAACAATTACTTTTAAATTGTGCTATCCTTCCTCTGGCATTAGGTTAACAAGTACAAAGCTGAAACCATGGAGGATGGAAAAGGTTGCATTATTCTATAAAAAGTGCAATCTTTCAAAAAAAAAATTTGTACTGCATTTGTAAAAATCAGAAATCAGAGACTAGAACTTATAGAAATAGACAAGGCCCAGATTTTAAAATGTTAACTAGAAAACTCTTCTAGATTTGATTAATTCAACAATTTAAAAAAATACTCTTCTAGTTTGTTTAATCCCTAACGGACTCTCTAAAGGAAGAGTACATAAATAATCAGTATTGTTTGAGACATTAACAAATGGATTTCATCTGAAAAGGTAGAATAATTGGCCAGGTCAATAATATTAAATAAATATACTTCTATAGCAGACTTAAATTTAGTCTGTTTTCTTAACTCGAAATCTCTATAACTAAAGTATCCAAATTATTTTCAAGATTCCTATTTACATAGTTTGTACTTTAAAAAAATATGGACAGATATTAATGTATGTAAACACTCGATTTTTATGTATTTCTAAAAATTTGTATATAGCACACATATTTGTGTTTTTTTGCAATTAAATGGTTTGCCTAAGTCCCAATTTCACCATTTTAGAACTTAAAAATATGAAAAACAACAAAATGAATAATATTTATTACATACCTGGACCCTTAGCAGGAGGTGGTGGTTTCTTTGGTTTCTATTAAAATAATAATAGTGAAAATAGTTCAATACATACATATTGAATATACCAAAAATAAATTCTGATCATTAATAATCAAAATTATATGAACATCTCTCCTCATCCCTGCCAAAAATTATAAAGATCCTAACAACTCCATAAAAGGTCACTAACTAAAAATTTACTCTATTAAAACAAATACCTCCTTGATCAAAATTCAAATATTTCAAAACTTATCATTGTTAGATAAAAAACCTTAATGATGAGCAAAAATGTTCTGTCCTGCCTCCCCTAGTTTTCCTATACACTATTTTACCCCTTTTTTAACAGCCGAGTTTAGTGGGGCGGGAGGGGTGGCAGAAAAAGGGTAAGAGACTTTGGGGGGGGGGAAATGTAGCTAATAAGTATATCTAGCTTTCATTCTTGACTCTTCAGAACTCTAAAAGAGAAGACTAAAGGCAAAGGTATGTTTTTCCTCAACTTATTCAAACTCTCTTATAAGCATTCATTTATTTTTAAGACTTCAAGTAATGCCTTAAAAAACATGAAACACATTTCTAAGTGAATTTTTTCTCCAAATTAAAAATAACTGATAATCAATACTTTATAAACATCTAATAAAAGACAAAAAAGAATGTGTTCATTAAGAAAAGTATAAAAATAAAGCACACTGAAGGTTGAATCAATAGTGAATCAAATCTAGCAAAGGAATGGCCTCCTACAGTGTAAAATAAACCTCCAGAGTACCCTTTAATAACTACTTAACTAAATGAAAAGACTGAAAAGGTTAGAGATTTCTGCATCGGCTTAAATCAAATATGGTAGACTGTCTTGCCATAAGTATCTGCTCTCTGTCCAACTCTCTCTCTCTCTACATATTTTAAAAACTCAATTAGATCATCCTTTTATGGGGGAAAAGGGGGATCAAGTTGTATAAAAGTAAAAGATCAGTGATGAACGACTCAGCCTTACTTTATTCATTCTGAGAAATGAAACAGATATATTAAATCCTATAAGGAGGCAAAGACTGCTTCTTATCCTCCCAAAAAATGCACTGACAAGATAATAGTAAGATCAACATTACCTTAAAATACTTTCAACAAAATGAAATAAAAATATAATTTCTTCCAGGCAAGCACTAATTTGTATAACTAGTATGGCCAGCTTTTTTTCTTTTAATTATAATAAAGTAATGAAGCCTAAGGTTACTCTCCAATATAGTCAGTGGGGAAAGAAAACCAGAAATAAAGCACAGAACTGAAATCTTGTTGTTTTACTATGATTCAAGTAACTTTTCTTGAAAATATAAACCTAAAAGACTCTCATAAAATTATTCAGTAACAATGTAAAAACTCTATTTTTAAAGAAATATTGACAAAAGGTTCTTTAAACTATTATCATCATTGAAAAATAAAAGCTTACTGGAAAGTCCTTATCCAGTTCATTTATCTGAACAGCAAAATTATCTGGAAATACTCCTTCTTTACCATTAAGTTCACCCTTCCACCAGCCAGCTTCTCCAGTCTCCTAAAATGAAAAATGAATAATAAAGATAATAAGGGTTATCTTTCAATAATAAAAAAAATTACAAAATAGGAAACTACTGAATTCCATTATTTTTACAAGAAAAAAATATTAAGCCTAAACAGATCACGAGGTCCTCCTAAAATAAAATATTCCTCACATATTACTCTTTGCAGAAGTTATAAAATTGGGTTTAATTTTTAAAAATAACTTTAAAATTCAGTTTATAAGGAAAAAGGTCTCAGAGGGAGAAGAGAAAGAGAAAAGGAAGTAGGGGAAGTACGTAGAGAGAAACTGCATTTCCTAACTGTACCTTATTTAACATTCTTCTCAAAACATTATACACTAAAAATTAATCACATTGTTCATTTGCTTTAGAAATTAACAGGATCTTCTACTATTCCTTCCAAATATCATCCTTCATTAAGAAATTAAGGTGTTTTCAGTTCAAACTGTGTGAATATTAAAAATTACACACACTGAACCCTCCGATAGTTCATTTAAAATAGAAAAAAATCTCAAAAATTATTCTATATTATTATAGCAAAAACTGTATTTACAATTTTCCTCTATTACAAATAGTAATTATTAGATCTGACCACATCCCAGTACTCCTGGGTTTTCTTTTTCATTTGCCTTAATTCATTTCAACTTATAAAACTACCTCATTCTTTTAAACACTGCATCATTTTCTACAGTATGAAGTTTCATAACCATTTACGTACAAATGGATACTTAAGTTGTTTCTTTTTCTTTCTCTATTATATTAGGTGGAAAAATGGAAGGAGGTAGAATAGGAAGTGAGAACAGAAACTTTGAGTGGGAGAGTAGGATTAGAGAAAAAACACAACATGATGGTAAAAATAATTCCCAATACACCTGTCCCTCAACTTACATGGTATTTTTTTACACGAGCTTTTTTATATGAGGTAAATAATCCCTCCTTGCGCCACCCTGGTTTACATAGACTGTTTATACATCTCCATTTACACGGTCTCATTTTATGCAGTTCTTTCTTTTTCATTTCCATTATTAGCAATTACACTTTCTAAAAAACCAATAGCTTAACTCAGCAATGTGCAAAGAACTAATACTAACCATTATTAATAATCTTCCCATTCACTGGATGGCAAATAAAAAAGCATGGGTGACTATTGATATTTTGGGGGACTGATTTACAAACGTTTTGCTGTAGAAGCTAAAAATTATATGAAGGAAAACGTCTTCCTTTTAAAATACTTTTAGCTTTCTATAATGCATCTGGTCATTCATACAATTTAGAACATCCAAATATAAAAGTTGTATATTTGCCACCAAATACAACTTCCTTGATCCAATCTTTAGATCAAGGCATTATTTCCACCTTTAAGATTAATTATATAAAATGGAGTTTTAATGATATTTTTAATAAACTGGAAGATAATCAATCACTTACAGTCAGAGAAGCCTGGAATAAATACACAATTTTAAGGTGTATCAAGAATATTGCTTTAACTTTGAGAGATAACAAAGCCACCAACTTTAAATGCTTGCTGGAAAGCAATATGGCCAGAAGTGGTTGTACCAGGGAATATGGTTCTAACAACTGAAGAGGGATTAACTGGCATTATTAATTTATCAAATAAATTTCAAAACGAAGGCTCTGACAATTTGAATGTAGATGGTATTAACAAATTACTGGTTGATCATGAATTAACGGATAATAAATTAATTCACTTAATATCTGAAGCCCATCCTGCTGATGAATACAGCAGAGACCTTAAACCAGTTTCATCCACTGCAAAAAATATTTACAAAGCTCTTTAACTGCCCACGAAACTGGAAACTGCAATTCTAGATATTGATTCAAACATCCAATAAAATTTCGAAAAAGTTTTTAAAACTACTGCAGCAAATACTGAAGAATTTATGAAAACTTAGCAAAAGATGGAGTTGGAAATAGATCATCCAAAAATATAAACATAAATAATGAAACCAAAGTAGTATTTCCAAATATTTCGAGCAATGAAGATAGTGACTCTGTGCCAATTAAAAAGAGAAGGTTGACTGCTTTAGATTACAGTACAGACACCAACAGTGAATAAAATTTATTTTGGTTTTTCTGAACTTTCATTAACATTTTTTTTGTGAAAATAGGTGAAATAAATATTTTTATGACTTACATTGGCCTATTTCTGTAGTATTTTGTTTGTGCTGGTGGACTCTTTTTATGTGGTTTTATTCCACTTAAAAAAAAGACACGTGGAATGGATGGATAATCTGCGTAAATCGAGGGGCAGGTATAAATCGATTATAACAAAGATATATAATAAATATTCCCTCAAAAAAAAAACAAAAACAAAAACTTTCTGAGCACTTACTATGTGCCAGGTTCTCAGGACACAGAAACAAACAAGACAAAGTCCCAGCTCTTCTTAGAGCTTACATTCTAAGGAAAATGCAAGAATATTGAGAAATATTTCTATAAATAAATGATTCAGTGGAAAACTGAGAAATATCTTACCTTACTTATCAAATGGATTATCTCTCCCTCTTTAAAAGTAAGTTCATCTTCATTAGTACCTTCATAGGCAAATAATGTTCTACAATATTCCTTAGCTAAAATAAAGAATGTAAATAATGTAGTTTACATAAATTAATTCAACAAATACTTATTAAATCTCTATTTTGTGCAAAAAAAAGTGTACACTAGAAGCTACTAAAATGACTTTTAATAATTTCAGCCAATAATGTATGTTGAATTAAGTAACAATTTCATTAATCATTCATTTAAATAGCTACTAAGTACCTACTATGCCCCTGGCACAATTCTAACTGCTATGGGGGCAGGAAAGCACATCAGTGAACAAAGCATATTAAAATTCTTGTCTTCACTGTGCTTATATCTAGTAGGATTCAATATTCTGATCAAGTAGTACAGTGTTAACAACTGTCCTCAATAAATCTAATAATATATTTGAGTATGCTTTATTCCAGGTATAAAAACTTTATTCAAAAACTTACCTTTAATTTTACCTTCAGTGTCTGTTTTTGTTATCTCCACACTCTGAGTTCTGGATCCCAGTGACTGTATGACTAAAGGCTAGAATAGAGAAGGATACCATCAACTATTTTAAGTTAGAAAGATGATAATATTATTAAACAAAATTTCCACTTACAGTTATCCAGCTTTCCCTAATGGTACCTATAGCCAGGTTCGTAATGTGACTGAAAACTCTGCCATGAAAAAGATCTTAAAAGCTACTTAAATGATAGCTCAGAACTTCTAACTTTTACAACTCTGATTTTATAAATACTAAATGCTCTGATACTCATAATAAATACTCCAGTTTTAGAACCTCTAAAATAAATAATAGTATTTGAAAATTTACTACATACCAATCCCTGAGTTGAGCACTTCACATATATTACAACTTAACCCACAGAACACTCTGCATAAACTAGGCACTATTGTTTAGTCTCTATAGATTAGCAAACAGTTAAACGACTTGTCCACTATAACAGTTAATTAGTAGTAGAACCCAGATTTAAACCAAGGAAGTATGACTCCAGAAACTGTATTCTAAAACATCACTAAACTTTGTTACAATGAGATAAAGTCTTGATACTTCCTTGTTGCTATATGAATGAAAACATTTAAATAATGTAACTCTTATTATAACTATAGTAGACAATTTTCCATATAATTTACAATTAAATTCTTCACCATCTTATACTAGTGTTTCCTTGAGTTCTCTCCCCAGAAATATCTGACCTTAAGATTTCATTAGTTAAAAATGTGAGCATACCTCTAACTTATGTTCTCTGTAGATTCCGTTAACTATTAAGATACTCACTTTAATTTTCCCAATTCTAACCACCATATCTTCCAATCTGGTGTCACCTATAAATGTAGCAAATTTGCTCCCTGCTTTATCAATTCCTAGATCAGTGATCAAAGCAAGCCTCACAAGGCCATCATATAGAGTGACCCTGAGACTACTCTCACTAACAACAACTCTGGAGTACTGGAAATTTTAAATGGCAATCGAAAGATTACTACTGTAGGCACCAATCAAATATTCAATACAATCATAAGCTTTACAGTTGGATAGGGGCCCCAAATCATCTAATGTAATGTTCTTCCTAATGCAGACATATTGCTTTTCCAATATTCCTAGTGGTTATATGGCTACACAGCACCACTCCAAAAACAAGAACTCCAGTCTTTACCTTGAAAAACAAGAATCAGTTAGGCCTCATAATCTTAATGCCAAACCATCTCAGAGCTAGGAGGGTAGGGCACAAAGTACAAATTCTCTTTCCTGAACCCAAATCATAATTACATGAGAAATTATGTAGCAAGCTAGGAAAAAAAAAAAAGTGTGTTGAAACTAAAGGAGAAAATTTTAAGAGAAAACTTAATATACTTCACTAGTCAAAACAGTCTTAAAAGTGAAATATTGCTGAAGTAAGCAAATAAATCCTGACATACTTTAAACTCTTAATAAGACATACAAATGAGAACTACAAGGGAAACACTGCCCTAAAAGTCACAGGAAAAGCTTCCTATCTGAAGGTAAGTACTTGATCTGAAGCTCCAAGATGTTAACATCAGGAACAACAGCTTTGAAATAAGTGCTCTAAAAGAAAAACGTAAGACTTTATTTTAAAATCTCTTATTAGATCTTATAATTTACGGTACACTCTGATTTATTTCACAATGCCAATGAAATGCTAAAGAAAAATAAAGCTCTCTGCACATTTAGAGGGAGATTAGATTTCACCATTGCTGACAAACCAAAGGAAAGTTAAGAGTGCCTAATTAACTTAATGTCACTGTGAATCCATTTTTTAAAGGCCCATTGTAGGCCTACTTCAATTAAAAGAAACAATATGTAATTTTAACTTCAAAGGGCAAAAAAAGCATTGCCTTTTCTATTTTTAAACTATAATTAAAACTGAAGCTTCCACTAAGAGGCGTTTATGTTAAATTTATCAAAAAACATTTAAATTTTATAAAAATCAAACTTAAACATTAACCACTGTAGACTTGAAAACTGTTTCTTACACTCATAACCAATTACTAGTGATCTCAAAAAAAAGGAAATTTAAAGTTGCAAAGTGACTTACACGCTTTAAAAAATGCTTAATAAGAGTGAGTGGAGTTAACCTAAGTTCACCAGAATTACCTTTTCTGTTTTTTTCTCTTCTGTTTCACTACTAGATGTTCTTGTCCTAAGTTTCACAGAGCCTTCTTTAAAAATATCTCCAAATCCAATTCCTCGAATTTTCTTTGGCTGTGTAACTGATCCAAGTGCAGTCTCATTCCCAGTCCCCGGAGAGGGTAAAGATAAGGTAGGTCCAGTCAAAACAGTTTCTGAAACAATAATTTGTTTTTGAAAAATGATACCTAGAATCATGAAAATCTTAACATTCCCCTTCCATAGTATTTACATTCCATACCTCCTAATAAAAAAAATCATAGAATAAAAATAAATAAAAGGACTGAGAACTAAAATATCCAAAAGATTAAATTAAAATGCACTTTATACTGATTTTTTCTGGACGTAGTGTAAAACGATAACAATTTAGGTATTTTTAATTAGTAAAATGCTAATTAAGAAATCCAGAAAATCTTATTATACAAAATATTTCACCAGAGTAAATCAAATTTACAGCTCTTGGACAAAGATGATATAGTACGTAAGACTGAAACATTAAAGAGACAGTTTATCATTTTTAAAAGCTGTGTGATTCAATCTGATCAAAGAGTGAGTTTCCAAAAATAAAAACTGGTAATATTAGCAAATTTTTATTTTCAAAAGTCAAGAGTTCAACACCTGTCATTTTAATTCATCAATGAAGTAAGTCTAAATTTGAAGCAGTCAATAAAAATTTAAATTATAATATAAATATTAAAATTTAACATTATTTGGGGAAGAAACTTGTTTCTACATTCTTGCTCGACAGTAAAAGTTCTCATTTCGAGGCTTCAATGAATCCATAAACAACTCCATGGAAAACTGTGTATTTTTTCAATTCATTTTTCTGGGTAAAAGCAGCACAGCTCTTATCAGATTCTCAAGGGTCTTATAATCTAAGAAACAAAGTTCTAGAGTAAATCATTCAAGAAAATTCCAGAAACATTTCAGAATGGGGGCAAGGGATGGGGAAAAATACAAGGTATTAATTCACAGAACTAAAAGAGTCTGTTGAAGTTTAACAGCAAGAATCACAATGGGTAAAAATAAAAAGAGTAGTGAACATTTATTCAGGCCTTAATCTGTACCAGGCACTTGCTAAAGTACTATACAAGAATTATGTCTATTGTACATAACCATCCATAGGCTTAACATTAAAAGCACTATTACTCATTTCCCATTTTGAAGATAAGTAAACTGGGCAAAGAAATATTAAGAACTTTTCCAAAGCCATACAAGAAGTAAATAACAAAGACAACATTTGAACCAAATTCTAGATTACCCCAAAACCAGTTTTAAACATTCTAGTATAATGATTCAAACAAAGGCCTCTAATTACACATTTGAAAATATTTAATAAGTAGTTAACAGAAACAACTTTTATGAACTTAAGAAATGTAATGCTAACAAAACAGTGATCTAACCACTTTCAATATAACCCTAAGCCACATATATTTTTGACTACAAATTTTTAAATAAACTTTACTGAGAGAATATTTACACATAATAAAATGAATACATTTTAAACAGACAATCTGATTTTTGATGACAAATGTATGCACCATGTAACCATAACAATCAAGATATAGAACATTTCTGCTACCCTAAAAGGACATTTATACACAATCTCAGTCAATCTTTCTTTCCTACCTTCTAGCCTCACCAAACTGCTGATCTTCGATCTGTCACGATAGATATACCTTTTGTAGAGGTTCAAATAAATTTAATGATATAGCATGTTAAGTGTTCTGTCTACTGCTCTGCTAAGCAGAGTATGTTTAAGTCATCCATGCTGTTCCATGCTTTTATATTTCATTCCTTTTTAATTGCTGATTGGTATTCCACTGTATAGATGTATCACTATTTATCTACCATTAAGATGTTAGCTGCAGGTTTTTCATAATGAGCTTTATCTTCAACAGAAGATAACTTGTTTGATGCCCCTACATAAGGTCTACTCAGTAAATACTCCATGTACTCATCAAAAGAATGTATATTCTACTGTTATTGGGTTAACTATTCTGTAAATACTAATTATAGAATTAGTTGATGTTATTCAAGTCTCCTAATTCCTTACTAATTTTTTTATCCACTGCTTCTATCAATTACTGAGAGAAGCATGGTCAAATCTACTTGTGGATTTGTCTTTCGGTTCTGGCAATTAGTTTCTATCTCACATATTTTGAAGTTCTGGTATTAGGTTATACATATTTAGAATTGTTATATCCTTTTTATGAACTACCTATGAAATAATCCTTTTTATCCTTGGTAATATTTCTTTTCCCAAAACATACTTTGATAGTAATATAACTACTCTAGATTTCTCAAGCTTTGCAGTGTCTTAATACGGTCATGTGCCACATAACGACATTTTGGTTATCAACAGAACACATTTATAATGGCAGTCTGATAAGATAATAATGGAACTAAAAAATTCCTACCTCCTGGTTATGTTATAGCTGTTGTAACATCACAGCACAATGCATTACTTACTGTAACTTTATAAAATTTAAAAGTTTATAAGGTAAAAAAGTTACAGTCAGCTACAGTTAATTTATTATTGAAGAAAAATATTTTTTTATATATTTAGTGTAGCCTAAGTATCCAGTGTTTATAAAGTCTACAGACATTTATTTTCTCAGTTCTGGGACTGGAACCCCAAGATCAGAGTGCCAGCGTGGCTGGGTTCTAGTGAGATAGCTCTTCCTGGCATGCAGATGGCTGCCTTCTGTGTCCTCACGTGGCCTTTCCTCAGTGTGTGCACACAGAGTGGACTCTAGTGTCTCTCCATTTTTAAATTTAGATGTAATTAACATGTAACATTAAATCAGTTTTAGGTTTACGACATAATGATTCAATGTGTATGTATATGTATGTTCATATGTGTGTATATATGTAAATCAAAATGATCACTACAGTAAGTCTAGTTAACATTCATGGCAATACATACTTATAAAGTTTTTTCTTCTGAGAACTTTTAGGATCTTCTCTCTTGGCAACTTTCAAATGTACACTAACACTTTCATCAACAATACTGACCATGCTATATATTACATCCCTGGAAATTATTTTATAACAAAGTTTGTACCTTTTGACCGCCTTCACCCATTTCACCCACCCCATACCTTCTGCTTCTGGCCACCACTAATTGTTACTGTTCTCTGTAACAATGAGTTCAGAGGGTTTTGTTTGTTTCAGATTCCACTTATTACATGAGATTGCATGGTATTTGTCTTCCTCTGTCTGACTTATTTCACTTATCATAATACCCTCGAGGTTCATCCATGTTGATGCAAATGGCAAACTTTCCTTTTTTAGGGCTGAATAATATTCCACTGTATGTATGTTTGTATGCGTACATATAAAAAAAAAAACCACACATTTTCTTTTCCATTCATCCATCAATGGACACTCACGTTTCTTACATGTCTTGGCTATTGTAAGTAATGCTACAATGACCATGGAGGTGCAGATACCTTTTCAAGTTAGTGTTTTCATTTTCTGTGGATAAATATGCAGAACTAGAACTTCTAGATCACATGGTAGTTCTACTTTTAATTTTCTGAGGACTCTCATACTGTTTTCTATAGTGGCTACAGCAATTTATATTCCCATCAGCAGTTCAGGAGGGTTCCCTTTTCTTCACATTCTTGCCAACAGTCATTGTCTTTTTGATAACAGCTATTCTAACAGGTGTGAGGTAGTATCTCATTATGGTTTTGATTTGCATTTCTCTGATGTTGAGTACCTTTTCATATAATTATTGGTCATCTTTTTGTTTTCTTTGGGAAAATATGTTAGGATCTTCTGCCCATTTTAAATCAAATGCTATGTTTTCCTGATACTGAGTTGTATGAGTTCTTTTTATAGTTTTGGATATTAACTTCTTACCATATATATGATTTGCAAATATTTTCTCCCATTCTGTAGGGTGCTTTTCATGTCGTTGATGGAGTTTCCCTTGGCTGTGGATAAGTTTTTTGATTTGATATAGCCCCACTTATTTCTTTTTACTTTTGTTCCCTTTGCTTTTAATGTCAAAACCGAAAATCACCTCTAAGACTGGTATCAAGGAGCTTGCCCTCTCTTTTCTTCTACGAATTTCATGACCTCAGATCTTGTGCTCAAGTGTTTAATTCACAATTCACTTTGACTTGTTTTTTGTTTATGGTGTCGCCTTTTTTTTTCTTTTTAGTGTATTTTTTAACCATTTTATTAACTTATTAGCTATATCTCATTGTTTTATTTTCTTAGTTGCTCTAGATTCTTAAAGGTTCCTCTAGCTTTATAGTATGCATCTATAACTCACCAAAATCTATATTCAAGTAAGAGTATACCATTTCACGTATAAAAAACAGCCTTATAATGGGAACATTTCTATTTCACCTCTTCTGTATGTAGAGCTATCGTCATACATTTACTTCGGTATAAGCTACGATTACTGTAATACATTATTATTTTAAACAATTATCTTTTAAAGACATATTAAAATGGAAAATAGTGTTTTATACTTGTCCACATAGTTACTCACATTTCTGCTAGTCTTCCTTCCACTATATAGATACCAGTTTCTATTTTAGTATCATTATCCTTTCTCCTGGAGAACTTTTCTTCTGATACTTCTTTAGACTGTAGGTCTGCTGGCAATGAATTTTCAGCTACTGTTTGGCTGAAATGTTTTTATCTCACCTTTACTGTGAAGAATATTTTCACAGAAAACAGAATTCTGGGTTTACCAGTTTTCTTTGAGCACTTCAAATATGCCATTCCGCTGTCTTCTGGGCTTACTCAGTTTCTGAAGAAACACTCTCTTATGCATTATATAGTTTCTGAAGATAATCTGTGGATCCTTCTAATTCTTCTCTACCTAATGTGCTTTTTTTCCTCTTACTCCTGAGATGTTTCATTTTACTGCTTATTTTCAGGACTTGATTATGATGTGCCTTTGCAAGCCCTCTGTGTGTGGTTACCATTTTTGAAATGTGTGGATTTAGTTTCCACCAAAAGTGGAAAATTTTTAGCATTCTTTCTTCAAATATTTCTTCTATCCACCCCCACCTCCTCTCCTTCTAAGACTCTAGTTAAAAATATTTTAGACCATTTAAAATTATAAAGTTGCTAAAATGTTTTGCAATCTATGTTCTTTGTGCTGAATTTTAGATAGATTCTACTGCCA